AAAAAAAAAAAAAAAAAAAAAAAAAAAAGAAAAAGAAATTCCTTTTCATCACTTCTTGGCCTTTTGGCTAAGATCAAGTGTGTGAAATTCCTTTTCATTGAATGTTTAAGAAATGTCCTGTTTCTCCCACTTTGGCTCACTAATGTAACAAAATTAAATGGTTATTTTTGTAATTCTTTCCACTTGCTGGGAACTGTGCTCCAATGTTTTAGCACTTTATCCCATTTAGTTATTCAACATTCTGTGGAATATGTTTCATTATCACCACTTACAGACAAGAGAAGTGATATTTCAAAATCCAGGTTCTTAACCATCTATATATTATTATTCTAAACCTAATCCTACCTAATATAGAGGTTTGGTTGGATTAATTTCTAGGGTTCCTTCAGATCCAATAAATAATTTTTTTGTGGAGGGGGGACAGAGTCTAGCTCTGTTGCCAGGCAAGGTTGCAGTGGCATGATCTCGGTTCACTGCAACCTCCGCCTCTTGGATTTGAGCGATTCTCTTGCCTCAGTCTCCTGAGTAGCTGGGACTACAGGCACCTGCCACCATACCAGGCTAATTTTTTGTATTTTTAGTAGAGACAGAGATTCACCATGTTGGCTAGGATGGTCTCAATCTACTGATCTCAGGTGATCCACCCGCCTCCGTCTCCCAAAGTGCTAGGTTTATAGGCGTGGCAAACCATGCCCAGCCAGACCCAATAAATAATTCTATGATATGCATTTGCTCCATGGACCCTATTTTAAAAAACTTTACCCAAAATACAATTGATAGTTTTAAGAATTGGATCTGTTAGAGGGAAAAGTTTTGGGGTGGGGACAGGGTCACAAGGAAGTAAGTTACAATAAAACTGTGAACTCTAAACTGTATGAAATTTTCCTATTGATGGAAATAGACTTTTTGGAATAGGTTCAGGTAGTATTTTTGTTTTCAGTTGTCTTTCTTATTTCCCAAATGCAGTTCTAGTCCTTGCTCAACTGGCTTCTGTCAGACTCTCCTCATTAGAAAGACCCTGTTAGTAACTGGCTGCTGTCAGTGGAGGGAGGATGAGCATTCCTCCAGGGATCCTCTCTTCATGCCTCCTGATCCTGATTCCCCATGTAGTCTGCCAGGCATGGCCCTTCACCTTATATATTGGAGAGATTTAGGCATTCTCCCAATTCTTTTCTCCTGCAAATGGTAGGGTATATTTGTAATGACTTTGTTAAGTTCAAAATGAATTTTAAATATACTGTTTCACTTGTGACTCACAATACTTTGAAGTAGATAGGATAAGTTGATTATTTTAGCAATTTATCTTTCACATAGGCAAATCAAATTTTAGTGGTTTACGTGTCTACCTACAGTTTGTCAGGGTTCAACTGTGAAGGAAACAAAAGTCTGAATGATACATTCAGGTCCAAGCCAGTGAAAATAGTAATACACCTGTGCTCTGTGTTACAGTAGTGATGCATAAATGTCGGTATTATTTGGGATTTTGTTCTATATATTTTGTAGGTTTTTCTTTCTACCCACGCTCTCCATGCACATGCACATGCGCATGAATCCTAAGGGCTGTTTTTCAGCAGTCTGGAGTATGTTTTCTGTCTCCTGAAGAGCTTTGGCATAATTATTTTTAGCACTAAGATGAAATTTCTGAGGATTACTTAGGAGAATTATTTTATTTTTTTCCTAACTTATTCACTCTTCCTTTTTCCTTCTCTTTCTCTAATGTTTTTGCATGTTCTTCAATCATTCAACAAGCACTGATAAAGTACTCATCCCTAGAAGTAAAGCATCTGGGAACATAATTACTTTTTTTCACCTTTCATCATTCAATCTCGGTTTGTAATCAAAACTTGCCAATGGCACACAAGAGCTTAAGACTTGGGGCTAATGGTTTCCAGTTCTAGCCAGGAACAAGAAGAGAGAGCCAGAGAAGCTGAAGCTCAAAGACTAAAGGAAAGACTGTCAGCCTAGGCTTTCCCAGGTTGCAAGACAGGCCCACAAATAGTACCAAAGAAGCCCTGTTTTAAAAAGTAGAAAAGTTGCTAGGGTTCTTTCTTGATAAAATTCAGGCAGGCCTGTAAGATATCTCTCTCAGGAATAGTTTCAGGCATTTTTCAGTGCATCCAAAGACAGGTAGCTGGCTATTCTTCTGGGAATAGCTTTCTGTTCTTGTCAGAAGTAGATTTTAGCAATTTTGAGCAGAAATCTTTTGAACTACTTCCTGACTTCCACTGGTCCCCAACTGTGATTTTTGTCTTCAACTTCTGAAGTTATAGAAACCAAATGTAATTCTTTATAATTCAGACGTGTGTAGGTATATTCTTTGTTTTAAAGCCACTAAATTTCCATATTCAGATTTGAAAACACCAAATTTTCTTAATTGGGCTCCAGATTATGCACTTTTTAGCTTTCATGCTACCTGTTAATCTCCTGTAGACAAATTGAACTCTCTGGCATTTCTGCTACCACTAAGTACCCAGAGGACAGTAAAAGAGAGAAGGTCCCAGAGCACATATGCCACTTTACCTGAGACAGGATGCCGTCTCTACTTACTTCCTTTTCAGACTCCTTCAGCAGTATTGACCCAGGCATGGAAAAGAGCACAGGCAGGGACTGAAGACAGAGATCTCTCCAGGGCTCCGGCTAATCTCAGTAAAGCCACCGTTGGCATCCTCTAGCCAGACTCACAGAAAATGTGAAGCATGAAGTTTGGCTCCATTAATATTGGTGCTCTTGTTAGTTCCAGAAATATCTGGGGCAGTTATAACTGTAAAGCCTCAGAAACCCTGCCCTCTGGGAGCTTCTTAATCCCTCCTCCCTTGGGACCAAAAGGTCCTCCTGGGATAAACAGGTAGGCAGATGGGAGAAGAAAATGATTTTTTCTTTCTGTGACAAAGAACCCCTGGTAAGTCAGTGCTACATTGACTGCTTGTCCTGTAGGCAGTAAGTACATCTCCTGGGCACTGGGACCTTATGTACACATCCATCTGTGTTCATATTCATTTGCCTATGCACATTGAGCACCTTCTGTGGATCCAATAAGTGAACAGAAATTTTTGTGGGCTTCCTGCTTGTTTTGCTTGATAGGCACAGCCCAAACTATGCTATTCAATGGATTGGTGTTAATCTATCATGACTTTTATCAAGCCATTATGATTTAAAATGCAAGAGAAAACTGGATGAAATCTTACTAAGAAAATGCAATGTGATATTCAGAGAAAAAAGACCTATAATAACTTTGATTGTAGTGAGAGGTTTAAAGTAGAATTTGTAAATAACTGGATATTAATTAGGAAACATGTTTTTCCTTTAGGCTTCATTTTTGTTTTGAACCTTATATGAATTTTTTATACTTATCAACTAATGGAAACAAGCATCATAAGTTTCTTCAAGGCCTTTCTTTTGCATTATTTCTCTTCCTGTATTTTCCAGCATTCCTCCTGTTTCCCTTCCCTTTAGAAATGTGAAGACTCCAGTGGATTTAAAATATATCTTTCAAATTAATTTTCAGTATGTTTATACAGGTATATATGTATTTGTGAAAAAATTATTTTAAAATTGAATTTATATAAATGTCATTGGGTTATAAATCTAATGTTATTCTTTTTCTATCAATGCTGTATCTTAAAATTTATACATGTTGCTATGTATAAGTTGACTTTATTATTTGTTTTAAAGTCTGTACACTACTGTACAGTGTACTGCTGTACACTACTGAGGAAAGACCGTTTTAGAATTTTACCCAATACCTTATGAATTATCATGCT